AAATTTTAGTACTCTAAAAAAAAAAAAAAAAAAAGAACTATTGCAAAAGAAGCAGGTATAAGAGTCTAAGGGCTGGTCCACACTAACCCCCCACTTCGAACTAAGATATGCAACTTAGTAATGCAGCTGAAGTCAAAGTATCTTAGTTCGAACTTACCGCGGGGCCACACGCAGCAGGCAGGCTCCTCCGTCGACTCCGCGTACTCCTCTTGCGGAGCAGGAGTACCGGCGTCGACGGCGAGCACTTCCGGGATCGATCCGGTATCGATTTATCGCATCTAGACAAGACGTGATAAATCCATCCCAGAAGATCGATTGCTTGCCACCGGACCCGGAGGTAAATATAGACATACCCTAAGGCAACTGACACAAGAAAGATCTTCAGGCTCCTCACTGTGCTTTGTCTTTACAACTGGTTATTTCAATTAGCCACAAATTAATCTTTGGTATCATTTGCCAGTTTCCTAGAACTAGTGCTGAAGTTCCTGCCTCATCCCTGCCTAGCTGCTGTTAAAGTTGTGCTGCTCTTTGCTAGTTGTGGAGGCTGGCATGGGAGAGGATCCATTGCTGATTATCATGCAAATCAGTCTCCTCTGCTGTCTCCAAAGAGGCTCCCAGCTTTGCTTCCCCGTTGATTCTTTCATTGTCACATGGATAAGGCTAACCATCTCGTGTGACACACAGGCTGCAAAGATAGATTCTTGTGACAGTGATGGGTAGTCAGAAATGAATCTTTCACATAGGATAGAAACATGATTTTATTTAAGAAAATAACCATACATAATTGGGCTTCTGTCACTTTAAATTTTAATAGTAATAGTAGTACTGAGGCATCTGGAACTTTAAATTACAGCTTTCAGTGGCTTCACACTGAATCTCTCAATTATTCTTCGTAACTACTTTCTCAAAGCATGTGCACCATGACATTGATATCACAATTCAAATCTAAATTCAAAACTGACTGCAGGGCTGTGAGGTATGTACTTGCATATATTCTGCCTTGCTCTATCACTGAAGATCAGAGAGACAAAAGGAAAAGTGTCATTCCCAGAGCTATAGGCAGCTGTTTGCCAAAGATTTGAACTGTGGGGACAAACCCTTGTAGTCTAACATGAAAAACTGAGAGTGACCCGCACATTTTGCCCATTAGCGTCTAGCTCACCTGTCTCCTTCACACTGATCCAGCGAGGGGCAACATTCTCAACAAGCATTGCTTTGGTTTGGTCCAGTCGTGTGTCATGATCTGCTCAAAGAAAAGCCAGCCAATTTGGACAAAGGATTGGGAGAGGTTGGATTTTTATTATTATTATTATAAAATGTTCCTGCTAACTGCACTTGATAAAAGGGGCTGTGCTAGGAGTTTTGCAGCTGGTAGGCAGAGAACAAAGGGAGAAAAGTTGTAGTTCAAATGTATGCATTAACTAATGGATCTCAAAAAGGGAACAGAGTGAGAATCTGCAGATGGTAAAAGGAGGAAGTTTTAACTGGGTCATCTTTCATTACAAATTACCAGTACTATTGTGCTACTATACGCTGGTCATTGTTGTGATCTTAACATGTTTTGCATTCTGTTATTATGTATTTGTTGTTCTAAAATATGGACAGAAGGCAAAAATTCTGCACATGTGCTTAACTTTACACAGGTGAGTAGTTCTAATGAGGGCAGCACCCCCTCACTAGCAGTCCCAAAACATAGCACTTGCAAGGGGAATGCTCCTCTCCCTCTGCCTGGGAAGCGTTCCCATTGCTCTTCTAGCCCCCTCCCTATATATTTGTTTGTCCAACTTTCTTAAACTCTAGAATGGGTGGGAGGCCAAGACTTTCTGTTGTACATAGGAACAATCCCTATTTACACCAATAAGTCCCAGAATTTTGGGTCAGATTGGGCCTATAGGAGGAATTCCTATACAGAGGGAGATGAGAATTTTACCTGTGAGCGGCATGTTTTGTGCCAATCATGGGATCTGTGCTCCTGAGGGCTAGGAATGGCTGGGCCTGAATCTTAGAGTAAGTGGAGGTGGGGAGCTGGGAACAAAAGACCATACCATCCTTTCTACAGCCATGCCCAGATAACTAGGAAACTACATACAGTCGCTTAAAACCAGCTCAGGTAGGTTCCCTTCTGTTCCCCCTGTGTGACTTAGATTTAGTGCAGTGTCAGATGAGAGAGGCTAAGGGGAGGCTCACATAAACACAGTTCATCAGTATCTGCATAATCTGAGCCTTTGTTTTAAACAAATTAAGTTTCTAGGATTGATGTTTGTAAAGAAACCTTCCAAAGGTGAACCTAGCACTAAGCGATGCTCTGGAACCTGTTGCAGGTGGAGAGGGGAGTGCTAGTGAGCAGAAATTAATCCTGATGATGTAAATATAGAAGGGCAACTTTTTTTTCACTTTATTAAATCAGATATTTACAGTATTTGCTGAAAGCAAGAAATGCTGAATTATATTTAGATAATCATTCCATAAATAATGTGTGTTTTCACAGCAGTCACAAAGTCTGGAATTTGTGTGCTAATTACAGACCCCAAATCATCTCTGCACAGATTTGCAATTAAAACTGAAATATTTTCATATACAATGTGATCCCTGTATTCATAGCAACAGCTATGAGACTTGCTGGGTAGTATTTGCTCAGTAAAGTTGAATAGCTTATGTTTGAAAACAATTGTTTCACTTTTGCTGTCCTTGTGTTTTGATATTTTTAAAGCTGAAAGAATTTAAAGTTTAGTGCTGAGCTGTTGGTGGGAGGGGGGTTAGATGAATATTCTTCTGTAGTAATTCATAGACTATAGGAATTCAAAGGAACAAATGGCAATTCAGAGACATTGAGAATACTATAGTTCCTGTGTGCAGTTGTCTTCTCAATATATACTGTAAAAACCACATATTTTTAAAGCCATGTCCTGGCAGCAAAGTACAGCAAGAATGCAAATTTAGGGAGACTGTTGAATAATTCAGTAGCTTGTTATGTGAGTAAATCTGATTGGTCCCCACTAAAATGTTGCCCATAAAAATGATTTCCCATGATAGCATTGGTCTAGGGGTAGGAGGTTTATAATGCCCATAAAATGGGAGAACAAGACTTACTTGAACTAATAATATCACGGCTGCACAGAATGATTGATGGTCTTTAAAAAGGCCTAGATTGGTTTCATCTTTCTTCAGATTTTATCATTGACTTGTTCTTAGTCATGTGCAATCACTAAGGCCAAGAGAGGTAACAAGTGTTTGATGTATGATACTTGAGCCACTTTTGTCAGAACTGCATTTATTTTAAGCTGCACTCATTTTTGATACTCCTAACATGTATATGTTCTCTATGTTTATTTTTTTTCCAGATGATGGGATGGGTCAAGAGGTAAGCCAAGCTCTCATAATACTAATGTTGCCAGAAACTGTAGTAAAAAGAAAACAGATCCTCCTCCTCGCAGTGGGACCATTTCCATTACAGATTAAATGTACTCAGAAGTGTGCAGGGCTAGCATCTTCCTGAGAGAACTTCAAATTCTTTATTCTTTGCTGTACATGCACACCTTTCAGAAAGCTACTTATAGCTCCTAGAATATATTATCTGTTTAAATTCACTCCATCCTTCACAATCTGCAGTGAGCCACAAACACTCCTTTTATGTCAAGAGAAATTTCAATGGGGGAAAAAATATATTAAATTAACCAGTTGGGGGGGAAAGGGTCAATCTAACTTGTTTGTGAACACTTTCTCATCTTCTACAGCTCAAACCAGATACCTGAATGAGTTGCTGGAAACATTCTTATCAGTAAAGTATTCATAAAGGATTGTATATTTGTGAGCCACAAAATGTTTGGCAGAGGCCTAGAGGAAGGAAGGAAGGACAGAGAAAGAAAAGGTTGATTGAATAGCTTTGTGTTGTAGCCCTATTCATTTTGGGAACTTTCTGTCATCCTTGTTTGTTCTGTTCAGAAGAAGAATAGACAAACCAGTAGAATGTCAAATTTCTATTACTTTATTTCATTTAATGTATCTCATATACTGATATACATACATGTACAAATTATGTTACCGTATGTATACTTATGTGCATACGTTATATAAGCGTATAGGTTCTCTCACTCATGATGATTTTATCTCATGTAGAGTTTAATGGTCTTCTGTTTCGGCAATTTAAACACAGTCTCAACATAGTTCAACAAAATCAAGAACAGTTTTTGGCAATTAATTTCTGCAGTCAATAGTATCCTCAAACTGGGCAACTCCCCTTGGAACTGGGAGCCACAACAGAAAAGACTATGTGAGTGAAAGAGCAAGACAATTCATTAGACAATTCTGCAGCAGCTCAAAGTGGCGGGGGATGTCAGCCCCTGCTCCTGTGCTTCAATACTAATGAGAGTCATTGCATATTCATAACCCTAAATACAGTCGGCTTTTTATAAAAACTTTTGTCACCGAGGCTTCACGGCAAGTGCAAAAGCATTGCACTCTTCATGTCGCAGCACTTCCGCCAAGTGAGTGCAAGAGCAAGATTGATTGTTTTGCAACGCAGCTTGACAGGGAACTAAGAGATACTGCCCCAAGGGTCCTGAAACTAAGCTTAGTTTGATTACAAGGCTCCAAGTAATCAAAGAAACAAAAGAGGAAAAAAGTGTTGTTGGGTTTGTTTTGGTTTGATTTGGGTTTTTTTTTTAAAGATAAAGGAATGTGCCAAAGATATAGCTTTCCTTATTGAGTGTTCAGAGTAATTATCTGTGAGGGGTTTAAAAGAGTTCATATCAATTTTTATCATGGAGGAAGAAGAATGATAGACTCTAGCTAACTTGTTCCCATGTTGTTGGAACACTTCTGCATGTCTTAATAGATATGAATTTCTAAAACTGTATGAAGTTTCACGTCAATATCAATAGCAAAGATTAGTGAATTCAACCTGTCAGATATTAAAATCAGTTCTGCCAAGTGTTGTGCTACCCAGAATTCTCTTCTTGCAGGTTTCTTTTCATTTTCTTGGCAGTTTCCTCTTCTTTCCATAATTATTACTATTTTTATTATTCATTTTGAGAAACAACCCATCTACTGTGCTCGCAGTCAAATCCTGAGGGTCCACAGCACTCCTAATCTTTGACCTCTCAATACCTGTCTGCTGGGGCAGCTATTAGCATCCCTGGAGTCAAAAAAGGGAAACGTATGTTTCAGCACCCACTTTGAAAAAGCCTTGAGCATTTTCTCACTCGTAATGATATCTTCAGCTGGAATGCCAGCACATTTCCACATCTTTTTGACAGGCAAGCAGACTATAAAATATACATAAAATTAAATAAAACAGGATATTAAAACAAAGGTTTCAAAATCTGATTACATGCAGGGTTGGGGGTTTTAAACAATTTCCAAATGCAGGCACTCACGCAAAATATCTTCCTGGCTCCAGATAAATCATGGAATATTAGTGCTGAGGAGGTTTCTCACTAAATTGTTAAATATTTTAGTCATATGTATACAGACTTTGAAAATAGAGGAATCTTGTGGTTATGATTGATTGAGGTAACTGATTATCCACAGATATTTTAAGTGTTGAGACATTAAATTGTCAGCCATATCAGTTTGATTGCAGTAAAACATGAAAACATTGACTTTTGTCTTGTTAGAGAAATTTATTTTTCCCAGAATGACAATCCTTTAAGTAGAAACCAGGCAGCCTGCCAGCTCTCCATGTCATACATTGAAGTTTGCAAATGCAACCCATATTTTCAAATGTTTTTCAAGGTTCAATTAATGGTGCATAGGTCTTTTGCAAATAGTCTTGTAATAAACAGATTTCCATACACTGCTTCAATCTTACTTAAGCCTTGTGTAGAATAGTATTTATTCATTATGAATAAATGAACAGCAGATATAGCGGTTTGCATTCAAGGCATATAGGTAGTCAGAGCTCTTCACTTATGTAAAACATTTCAATGAAAGAAACAGTAACCCTCTTTGGACTGCAGCTATATGAACAAGTTTGATTAATATGTTTTACAAGTCTGAAGTAAATGCTCATCATAACTGTCAGCAAGCTGACAGATTTCAAAAAGAGCCTTTGTTCCCAGAATGAGTAATTTGTATGATCTTCTTTAAGATACCACATTCAGAATCTTAGAGGGGGAAGGTATTACATTCAAGTGAATTCCACTCAGAATGTGATTGCTGTTAAATCAGCTTTGTATTCTGGATCCTTGATATATACACACTATTTGACAGAATAGCAAAAGGTTGGGGCTTTTTTTTATTTGTTGTTGTTGTTTGTCAGTACACCGGTGCATTTCAATACACATGTATTCATGGAGTTTTGTACCTCATTAGGAGAATCACAAATATTTGATGCCACATATAAGATTTTTTAAAATAAAATCCAGGGACTGAGAAATTACATTAGATCATAATAATGATGTTTTTGGTAACTGAGATCAGCTACTGAACAAGCTGGAAAACAAGGAGGAAACAGAAAGATGGATGGCTAAGT